TTATATTTTGTATTGTAAATTTTTCTTTCCCTATTTCATTGAATTTTATTGGAGAAATCTGTATATTAATAAATATTTTAAATTGAGAAATAAAATTAGGGTTAAATTTAATGATGATTTGTTTTTTTAGGAGGGCTTATTCACTATATTTATTTTCTTATATTTATCACGGGGGAAGTTCTTATACTGAGGAAAAAATATATAATTGTAAGGTTATAGAATATATAGTGATAATTATGCATTTATATCCATTAGTTTTTTTTTTTATTAAATATGTTTTTTATTTAATAAATTAAAGTAAAATTTAAGTAGTTTATTTAAATTAAAATATTAATTTGTGGAGTTAAAGAAGTATAAAAAAATTTATTACCTTAAATTATAATTAATATGATAATATTTATTTGTATAATTAAAATTAGATTAATTTTGGAATAATAAGTATAATTTGCATATATTTAGATTTAAAAATTATATTAGAGTGAAAGGTAATAAGGATTAATTCAATAAATATTGAATTTATAGTATTATTCGATTGAGTTTCATTATTATTTATAAGATTTATTTTAATGATTTCAAGAATAATTATAGTTTACAGGGTAGTTTATATAGAAGGAGAAGAAAATTTAAGTCGCTTTAATAGTTTAGTAATTTTATTTATTTTTAGGATAATTTTTATAGTAATTAGACCAAATGTGGTAAGGATTTTAATTGGGTGGGATGGACTTGGTTTAGTATCGTATTGTTTAGTTATATATTATCAAAATTTTTCATCTTATAATTCAGCTATAGTAACAGTTTTGTGTAATCGATTAGGGGATGTGGGGATTTTAATGTCAATTAGATTTATAATGATATTGGGAAGATGAAGGTTAGAAATTTTAGATAAAAATAAAATAATTATGGTAATATTATTATTAGCTTCAATTACTAAGAGAGTTCAAGTTCCATTTTCTGTGTGGTTACCCTTAGCTATAGCTGCTCCTACCCCTGTTTCGGCCTTAGTACATTCTTCAACATTAGTTACAGCAGGGGTATATTTAGTTATTCGATTTTTTAATATTTTTATAGATAAAGAAGGGGGGAGAGTGATATTATTAAATATTGCTGTTATTACAATATTTATATCGGGTATGGTTGCTAATTTTGAATATGATTTTAAGAAAATTATTGCTTTGTCTACATTAAGGCAGTTAGGGTTTATAATAATAATTTTAGGGTTAGGATTTAAGTTAATTGCTATGTATCATTTATTAATTCATGCTATTTTTAAGTCATTATTATTTATAAGTGCTGGAGTAATCATTCATAGTATAAAAAATATACAAGATATTCGATTACTAGGAAATTTGAATGAAATCATACCTTTTACAATAATAAGATTTATAATTTCTTCAATTGCTTTAATAGGTACCCCTTTTATGTCAGGATTTTATAGGAAAGATTTAATCATGGAGTTAGTTTATTTGAAGAGTGGGGTAAATATTTATATAGAAATATTAGTAATTATATCTTTATTTTTAACTGTATTTTATTCAGTTCGGCTATTATATTATTTAATATATAGTAAAAGAATAAAATTTTATAGGTATTATTATTTTAGAGAAAGGAAGTTAATAAATTTTTCTATAATAATTTTATTAGTTTTCAGAATTATTATAGGAGCGTTAATAAATTGAGTATTTTTTTTTATTTTTATATAGTTTATTTATCTTTTAAAGTTAAGTTAATTACGTTGATTATATATTTATTAGGGGTTATATTAAGTATAATGGTAGTAATTAGTATTAAAAAATATTTAAAATTATATTATTTAAGGTATTTTGTAAGATCTATATGATTTTTAAATATATTATATATATGAATTATATCATGTAGTGATTGTCTGACGTTGTAATGTCCCCGCTGTTCTTCCACCGCACTTCGCTGAGACCTAGGATCTTAATTTTACAGCGTGTCATTTCTTTGCTTAGTTGTGCCAAACGGGATGCCTGTGCCAATGTCCGGATGTTCCAAGTGCCAATTCGTATACCTTTTTGATAGCTAAGGTTCATTTCCGTTGTATCCGTCCGATATCCGAGGCTCGTATTCGTTTCTCGAATCAGCTTGTTTCGGGTTTGCGGGTGATTGGCCCACAGAATCCTATCCAGCCGTCAGAGTTATACTGACTGTCGGTCGGCCGGAGCAACCGGTGATGGCCGTTTTTGTTATTATTTTTATTTAGGAATTCTAGCTGGATTTGAACTCGGGATCTTTGGCATAGGAGGCAAATACTTTGCCAGTGCGCTACGGCCACCACAAAAGATTATGTAATTTAATTAAATTAAGTGTTAATGTTCGAGTCCGCATTAAATTTATTAATTCTTGTCTAAAGTTCCAAATTGTTCCTCCACATTTACAACATTTGACTAATCAGAATAACTTTTCATTACATAATAATTCGTCATATAACAGACTTAAGAGTTATCAATTGAATTATGTAAAGAATATCATACGATTAGAGCTTAAAGATGCCTACTGCCACCTTCATAAAATTAGAATGGACATTTTTAATTAGTCTCATAAGATTTATGTTTCATTGCCATTCCGAGTACAATGCGAATTCTTTAAATATTTATTTTATCAGTAATTCATATTTTTTTGAACAAATGAGTCGTATTTCTAATAAGATTGACTGGCTTTATAATAAAAGATTAGCATTATCAAAACTAAGAATTAATCCTATTAATTATTATTGTAATTTCTCAAATGACATTTCTAACAGAAATCAAATTCTACCTTCTAGTTGTATTGTATTTATTTCGTGTTTTTCACACTGAGTGTGCTCACACTGGGACTTCCTGTCCCCTGCACTTCTTCAGTCTACAATTTCTTACAATTATTAACAATATTATTATTATTATTATTAACAATATTATTATTTCTTACAATTATTAACAAATATTTACATTCTTACAGTTATAGAATCCTTCTCTCTCCCTACTTCTCACTCGCACTCGTACTCCCCCCTCTCTCTCTTCTCCTCCCTCTCTCACCCCCCCTCTCTCTCTTCTCCTCCCTCTCTCACCCCCCCTCTCTCTCTCTCTCTCTATCTTGTCTCACCTTCTCTATCATTTTCATCCATTCATGTCCTCTACCGTCTTCATTCAGCACATCAAAGTTTCTCCCTACTTTTTTCTCTACATACACACATTTTTCTTTCAAGTGATCTATTTCCTCCTTTTCTCTTTCACACAGCCTACATCTTTTATCTTCTTCACTCTGCCAATATCTATTACCTCTCACTTCATTTCCGCAGCGCCATCTTGCATTCATTTGTAACTTTTTCCCTTCATTTCTTTTTATCTTCCTTATATATTCCGGCGCTCTTAAATCATTTACTCTTTTATAATCTACACACAATCTACACAACCTCGATCCTCTTACTTTCTCTCCTCTCACTTGCTCATCTAACTCTATATATCTCTCTCTCACAGCTCCCATTTGTCTACTCCCCACTCACTCATCCCTTCCTGACTTACTCCCCCCCTCCACAAATAATCTCTTCTCTCTATGCTCTCCTCTGTCCACATACTCATCTCTCCTTCTCTTTCATTCTTTCTCCTTTCCAGTATACACCTTTTCCCTATCTCTCCCCCCTCTCCCTTCTCCAATCTTTCCTCATACCTTCCCGCTCTCCACCCCGTCTCTATTCTCAATTTATTCCTCCTCAATTCCTCCCTCACTATGTATCCCGGTGTTACTCTGTCCACCCCTAGGATTCATCTCAAATACTTTTCTTGCAGGGCCTCTACTTCCTTCCACTCCCTATAACCCCATATCTCCACTCCGTAGTATAATATCCCCTTCACTATGCTATCAAAGAGTTTGAGACTCCATCGTACATCTCCCTTAAATTTCCTTTCCCCATACCCCCACACCCATCCCATCGCAATCCTCGCTTTCCTTATCCGATCTCTTACTTGTTCTTTTTCCCCTCCATATCGTGTTATCACATACCCCAAGTATTTGTACTCTTTTACCTTTTCCATCCGTTTTTCCCCCTACCACCAGAACCTTTCTTTTTCTTTTCCTCCTTTCTTCCTAAATACCATCACTTTCGATTTTTCCACACTAAACTCTAATTTTTTTCTTTCTAGATAACCTTTTACACCCCTCATCATTGCTCTTAGCCCCCCCCCCCTCCGTCTGCATATTCTAACGACCAAACCTTGTCTCTTCCAACTCTGACCCCCCCTATTCCTTTCCTTAGTTCTTCTTCTAAATCCGCTTTATATATATTAAAAAAGGTGGGGCTCAAAGGGCATCCTTGTCTTACTCCTTTTTCTACCCGATATTCTCCTGACATTTCCTCTCCTATCTTCACCACAAATTTCGTTTCTTCATATATCTCCCGTACCCTATCTATTAGATCTTCACTTATACCTCTTTTCTTCATCATTTCCCATAGAATCTTTCTATCTATCCTATCAAAGGCTGCCTTCAGATCTAAAAACATCGCCCACAACTTTTTTCCACTTTTTATTCTCTTCCCTACTATATGCTGCAAGATCTTTACATTCTCTATTGTACCTCTTCCCTTTCTAAATCCTCCTTGTGATCTACTCCACCCCTCCCTCTCATCTAGATCCTGCACAATCTTCTTATTCAGGATATTTGCGTATATCTTATACCCTATACTTGTTAAAGTTATTCCTCTATAGTTTCCGGGCACATTTTTGTCCCCCTTTTTCCATATGGGAACCACTACCCCTACTCTCCACTTTTCTGGCAGACCTTCTCCCTCCCATACTTTTATAACAATACCCCAACACTTTTTCCTAATCTTTTCCCCTCCCCAAATCAACGCTTCATTTTTAATTCCATCTCTGCCAGCTGCTTTACCCTTCCTCAATCTTCTGATTTCATTTTTAAACTCTTCCTCATTTATCTGCACTCCTTCTACTCTGTTTATATGCTGCCTTATTCCCGATTCCTCTTTCTTTTCTTCCTCGCCTTCTAACACCTTTGTAAAGTATTTAACCCAATCTATCATTTTTATCTCCTTACTTATCCCCTCCCTCTTCTTCCTTCCTTTATTAATAAAGTTCCATGCTTGTGACTCAGTTCTTATATTTTCTATTTCTTCTTCTTCTCTCTTTTTATGTAATTCTTCCTTCACTCTACAAGCCTCCCTATATTCCCTTCTACATCTTATGAAATTTTCCCACCTTTCTTCCCCTTCCCTATATCGTTTCCTTACTTTATTTACCTCCCTTTTTTTCTCTCTGCACTCTCTATCCCACCACGGGCTCCCACCTAGCCCTTTTCTTTTTCCTGTCCTTTTCCATACTACTGCTGAATTTATTTCCGATTCTAATTCTTCCCATCCTTCTTGCACGTCCTCCCCTTTCCATTCTATTTTCTCTATTTTTTCTTTATATATGTTAATACCTTCTTCTGACCAATCTTGTATCCTTCCTACCTCATCTGCTACTTCCTCTTTTCTCGCGTACCTTCCTCCAAAATCTATTATGATCGGCTGATGATCTGACTCTATTCTACATCCTATTTCAAACCTATCTATCTTCTCCCATGCCTCCCAATTTGCAATTCCGTAGTCTATCACCGATCTCCCCCCCGTTCTCTCATAGGTCCATTCTCCCCCTTCATCTCCTACTTTTTCCCCATTTAAAATCATTCACCCTTCTATCTCTCTTCTATCACTCTGAGCAACTCTTTACCCTGTTTGTTTATTACTTTATCTTTTGATACTCTTTTCCCCTCCTCCGGCCTTTTCTCCTCTCCACTTAAAGTTCTTACTCCCCCTTCTTTTCCTATCCTTGCATTAAAATCTCCTACCATCACCATCTTCCTCTTTTCCTCTTCCTTTATAACTTCCTGCAGATCCTCTAAGCCCTTCTTTCTCCCTTCTCTATTATAAATCGTCACCACTCTCCATTTTTCCCCATTCAATATGATCTTTCTTTCTTGTATCCCCTCCCTACTTTCAAGCTCTTCCTTATTTTCCTCTATCTCTTTCCTTATTCCCGTAATTATCCCCCCCTTCGCTCTACCTCTTCTCTTATCCCTATCTGCTGGCTGACACTTCCACCTCCATTCCTTCGGCATTTTTTCCTTTAGCTTCCCCCACTCTTTTTCATCTATCCACGTCTCTAGCAATCCTATTATTTCAAAATTTCCTAAGAACTCCCAGAAGTCTGTCTCATTTTTCAAATCCGCAACATTCCAAAAAATTCCCCACACCCGTTGTTCCCTCTTCTCTCCCCCCATTTTTGTCTTCCCCGCCCTTTTACCCACCCCCTTTCCTATTCTGTCCCTCCTTTTACTTTCTCTCTCATTTTCCTCCCCTTTTCTTCCATCTATACACCCTTCATTCTCACTTATTCTTTCACATTCACTCTCTCTCCCTCCATTCACTCTCCCTCCCCTCCTTACACCCTCTTCCCTACCCCCCGTACTCTCCCACACTTCTCCACACTCATTCACACCTTTTCTTTCACCCTTGCTGCTATTATTACTACATCTATCTCTAAGTATCTCTTCTTTCTTCTCTATTTTGCTATCTCTGTCCTTCTCGTCCTCACCTCGACGTTCTCTCCCTCGTTCTCCACCTTCCCCTTCATCTTTCTCTTCGGCTTGTTCTCCATTTATGCTGACCTCGCAGCTCCCGCAAAATCTTTTTCAATTTCCATTCTGTCCCTCTCGTAACTCCATATATATTTTGTTTCTCCTATCTCTGCTTTCCCGTACCCTACTTTCACCATCCTTCCTTTTTTCTTCTCTTGATATGCCCATTCTCTTACCTTCTTCTGTATCTCCCTCTCTTTTCTTGTCATGTCGTCATCAACATATATTTTCCTCCCTCTTAGCTTGTATTTGTTCTTCATAATCTTTCTCTTTTCCTCGAAGTTTTCTAATTTCACTAAAATAAATTTCTCCTCTTTGCCAATATACATTGCGTCTTCCACTCTTACTTCTTCTCCACATATTTCATTGCACAGATTTTCTGCTACCTGCCTCGCTGATCCTCCCTCTACTTGTTCCCCTTTAATTATAATATTCTTCTTTCTTTCTCTTTCCTCTTCTCTCCTTTTTAACTCCGTCACCTCTCTTTTTAGTTCAACATTTTCCTTCTTCAATTCTTCTATTACTTTCATATTTTCTTCTCCCATTTTTTCCATCTCTTTCTTCAACTCCGTCATTACCTTCTTCTCTAAGTCTCTATTACTATCCTCTATTTTCTTAATAATTTCTATCCTAGATCTTTCTTGACTCTCCCCCATATCTTCCAATAATTTTTCAATCCTTTCCATTTCTATTATTTGCGCCCTTTCGAGGTTTACTGCTATTTCGGCCGTCTTCCTCTGTTTCCCGTCCTTCTCCTCACTCTCGCTGTCACTCTCCTGCTACTCTCTTCCCCTCCCCCAAATCCACGATGAAATACTCGATGTACTCTCTATACTACTACTTCTCCTCCTTCCCAACTTTTCGGCGTTTGATGGTCTCCCTCTCTTCCCTACTCTCGCTTCTCCTACTTGACCCCTCTTTCCGTTCGACTCTGCCGTCGTTAGGACGGTGCCTTCCTTCTCTAATTCCAAGCTCTCACTCATACCCCACTACCCGTGCCTCCCTACCTTCGTGCACACTCGCGCTCTCGCCCCTCTACTCCCGTTCCTCTCGACGTACGCTTTGATCTTTCCCCCTTTTCACCTCTCTCTCTCTCTCTCTCTCTCTCTCTCTCTCTCTCTCTCTCTCTCTCTCTCTCTCTCTCTCTCGTTCTACCAGGCTTATGCCACATCCGTCTCCTTTCCCGCGCTTTCTCAGGTTGCCCTGACCACGTGTTGCCCGAAATCTCACAGTCAAAAGATCGAGCCTCCTCACTTCTATTTCTCCGCAAAACCACCTACTTCTTCCTCCTGCTCACTCTCCTTTCCATCTACATACTCCTTCCGCCGCCACTCTGCTGCACCAACTTCGTGACTCTATTTTAACTTTGTAGGTTATGTATCTCGGCTTCAACGAAATGCCTCTCTAGCTCGCCTTCCAAATGGAAACACGAGCTACCTTTTTACTTAGCTCAAAATTCGACCGTAGTCGTCTCCTGTAACAAAAACTCCCCGTGGGGAAAATCCTTACAGCACCTTCAATTCGCCTTTTTCACACTCTCCTCTCAGAATACCAGTTATCGCACTCACCTCTCAACCGGAAGTCCCTTCTACCTTCTAGTTCTTCACTTAATATTAATTCTGACACGGAGAAAATTTATGTCGATCCGGTTAATTTTACAGATTCAGTTAATCTTGATTTACCACAGAACAAATGGTTTATTAATTTAAGTGACACTGACGTTCCTTTGAAGGTACAGTACTTATTACAACTTGGTGAAAAATTTGGTCTTCCTATCAATAGATACAGCAAAGAAAAAAACAATTATTGAATTTATTAAGCATATTGAAGGTAATATTAAGGGCCGTCCCGATAATATTGTAAATTATGTCAGGAATAACTCTATTCCCATTCTTAACAGACTTCATAACAATTTTCCTTCACCAAGTTTTATTGAAAAAAGTATTTTAGAGTGGTTACACTTAACTAAAAAATTTATAAACGAACATTCTAACGTACTTATTACTAATGCCGACAAAGGAAATGTCACTGTTTTACTGAATAAAGATAGCTATATATCTAAGATGGAACTGATCTTATCAGACGCGAATACTTATGAAATTGTTGATAAAGATCCAACTAATAAAATGACTCAAAATTTGCGTACATTAATTACAAGGTGGAAGAGCAATGGTTATATTGACAAATTTACATATATTAAACTGCTTACAACTGATGGTATTATTCCAAGAGCTTATGGTTTAACAAAAATACACAAAGTTGGGAACCCATTGAGAGTTATAGTTTCTTCTATCAATAGTCCATTATATTACCTTTCCCTTTTCCTACACAATATAATTAATGTTAGCATTCCACCAGCTCCTAGCCATATCAAAGATAGTTTCCACTTAATTAACAAATTAAGAGGTACTCATTTTGATTCGCATTATTTACTAGCTTCATTAGATGTTGTTTCCCTTTTTACAAATATTCCTTTTAATTTAGTTATGGATGGCATAGAAAAAAGATGGTGTCACATTTCTCTTAAGACTAATATTCCTAAAAATGAATT